GAGTTCGGTTTCCCAGCTCCATGCTGCTCTTAGCTGCCACTCCATTGTCTTTGGTCTGCTTGGAGTAAGTGGATGTTGAACATGATGCAGGGCCCGATGTTTCCCTCCTGTAGCTCTGTGGAGCTCTGCGGTGGCAGCCAAACCGAGCTCACAGCACGGCAAACATTGATGCTGGGGCTCTTCAAACTGAAATTATCCCCAAGGTTTTTCTGCACCCGGTGAATGAACAGTGCGTGTTGTGACTCTGGTAGGTTCAGGACCCCTTGCTGGCCACATGTGGTCTTTGGGCTCTGAAAAGGGTCCCAGAGGACCCAAAAATGCCATCAGCACCCTCCTTCCACGATGGAGCAATCAGCCAGGATTGCACGATTGCTCCTGGGCCTATTGACAGTGCATCTAGTTGCTGATCATTTTTATTATCACATGTGGGTGGGTTTTGTCGGAACTGAGACAGTGTCTTGCAGGGAGCAAACCTTTGTGGGTATCTGGAAGCACTTAGTGCCCAGCTGATGCTAACAGACTAGTAACGATAAGCAGATCTGATTTGTCTCTGATGATGTGGCCAGTGATGTTCTGAGTCACAGTTTTTAGTCATGCGAGGTTCAGCCACATGATTGCTAACCTCCTTCTGACTCTTTGACATTAATTCCAGGATGAAGAGGAAGCATTATATGGAAGAAAAATGTTAGGGCATAACTGCAAGTAAATAAATAAATGGTTTAGGTGGTTTAAAACCAGGGGCTAAGCTCAGTGTTTGGCTAAGATCACCCACACAAGCAGTGACCATCCCTTGGCTGATAGGTGGTAACTCAGGAATGGGGTGGCATTTGGATCGCATCCTGCCCGGAACCCACCTCACCCGCCTTGCCACCTGATGGTCTTCTTCTGCCCCAGCTGACCCGCACCACTGTGCCTCGAGGTTCCCCTGCCCTCCCAGTTTGTAAATAAGTTATTGCAATGTCTGAGTGCCTTCATCAATCAGGCACTTCAGCATGCCTCAGGTTTATAAACCTCGTCTGCATTTGTAACTGGTGGGAGCAGGGAGAGGAGAATGGGTGTGACCATTGCTGGATGGGGAGCACAGTCCACTCCACCCTGGGTGTAGCTTTTCACTTGCTTGTGCCCCGTCCCTCCTTATGAGGTTGTTTTCCTTCAGGGTGATGGGTTCTAGCTGGAGTACTTAATGTGAGCTTGGACGAGGCAGGAGGTGAGGGGAGGACATGAACACTGCACACGTTATAAATTGGCCGGGGGGGGACGGCGAGGGACTGGGGCTGTGTGACCGCTGCTGTCGGCAGTGTTGTTCGGGGCTTGCTGGGTGGCTCGTGGAAAGGAGCAAGGGAAGGTGAGAGCAACGCAGACAGCACACGTGCTCCAGCTCAGCGTTTTCCTCCTTCCTTCCCATCCCTTAAACCCAACTAAAAGTTCATTTCTGAATAAGCTGCACATCGCTCGCTGTGAATATCAACTACTCCCAGGCGAGGAGCACATCTGTAGGCACAGCAAAGCCAACTGTGGGGACGTGCGTGGTGTTTGATTTGCCTCCAATGCAGATTCTCAAACAGATGCTTCATGTGCACATCGCACATCAGCTTGTAGCGCGCCGTGTACGTGACTATGGTGAGGAGGAGGAGGAGGAGGAGCAGGAGGAAGGCATCTTTTGACTGTACCCAACACAAATTTCAAGATGAGTGCTGCCAGGAGCTGAGGGGTGGCCTGAACACTCGTAGACCCTATAGGTGATGTGGGTATGGGGCATCACCTGGTTGTGCCATGGTTGTAGAGAGCAACGCTGATCATTTTTCACCTTGTAACCATGCAGAGCCGCGCTGGGTGCATCTTGGAACCTATGTGTTGTTTTTTATAATATTTCTCTCCTGGATGTTAAACACTGTAAAAGGAGTTTTCAGCCAAAATTGTGAGTTCTCTTTCTTGATATGATGATGCTGCAGTCTCCTGAGAACCTGATGGCAGGAAGGTTTGTTTTCTGCAGCTTAAAACAAATGTTAAAGGAATATTTCTACCAGGAAAATGTTTTGGGGTCTAGTTTCCCTGCTACTTAACAGTTTTAATTGAAAAAGCAGTCAATAAGGGGATAATGCATTTTGTAATGGCATCGTTCTTCTGAGGTTGTGGAAAATGCTATAATTAAGCTGATAATTAAACCCTGTGAAGTTAGTTATGATCCCTGGCAAAGGCACAGGGAAGTCATGAGCAAGGGTTTGCCCAAAGTCTTGTTCTGAGTCAGACAGAGAGCCCAGGGGTCCTGGCACCCGCTTTCTCATGAGTCATGTGGAGGACTAAGTCCTGTCTCTCCTCTGTGGATGAAATGACATTGTAGAAAACGCAGATTGAATAACTCAGTATTTTGGGGTCGCATATGGATAGACCAAATATATGCACGGGCAGGTACTAGAATCTCTTTAAAATGCAAATTGTTTTCTTGCTAATCTGGCTAATTTCTTTAACCCAATTTGCATCATAGTGTATGGTTTTGTTACTGCCTTTCCCTTGAAGTGATGTACTGCAATGTAAATCGCCCCGGATCCACTGTCACCTTGCATTACCTTCCCCAACGTGATCCAACGTGCTGTGACTGATACAGTCCGACTTGATGTCATAAACAGATGCCTCCCATGGGGAAGCAGAAGGAACGCATTTTCTCGTAGCCCATAAATGTTTTAAAGAGTGGCTTTCCAAGTGATGGGGTACCCACCCCTTCCCTTTTCTCCTTAATAAGCTGTCCCAGAAATGAGCTCCATCCTGTGCGTGCTCATCCCCCTCCAGCCCTGCAAAGCCATTCAGCGTGTGCTGAGCCCTGAAGGAATGAGCAGCTTTAGCAGTTGGATGGGGTCTTCTTGCCTGTTATGGGATCAAAGCTATTAAGAATCCCTGCTGGGTTTCCTTTTAGAGCCCCTGTTGCTGGCTCACCCCTAGAATATTCTCTCTTGTCTTCAAGAAATTACGGGCAGAGCCTAGCGAATAGAGATCACTATTCTGGCAAACGAGCATTTTGACTCTGCTTATTTTCACATTGTGTTTCTGCGAAGATAAGGACATGGAGAGATTTCAATCAGTGGTGCATATGCTCAGATCAAGCATATGAAATATAATAAAAAGGAGAGATAGCAGCAGCATGCAGTGCACGTGGTAGCGCTGTCCTGCAGGGCTCCTGCAGGTACCGGAGTCAATAGTGACATTTTAATAGTAGCCCTTGCATTGATCTGCTTTAGTCTGATGGTTTTAGACACTTCGTACGCCTAATAATTTAGCAACAGCAACTACATGGAGAGGTGGATACAGTCAGTTCCAGCTGAATTTGAATAAAAAAAACAACCAAAAAGTCTTACAGTTGCTGATTCTGTTTCCAGACTTGAAGGAGAGCTAATAATCCACCCATATCGATTGGCCTAATAATATGTAGGAGGGTATGCCTATGGACTGATAGGCAAAGGAGAGGCATATAGACATGGAACTACCCTGTTCAGAGAAGCTGGTATTTTTTAGATCCTTCAACAGGCATGGCTTTCCCTTTTTTTTTTTTTGCCGTTTTCATTAAGCGTCGGAGAAGTTCTCTGAGGGAAAAGTAATATTTGATACAATGCTCAGATATACTTCAGACAGCCACATGCCTCATTTACAAAACATACAATATACTGGAGGGGCTTGGGACTGCCATAGGCTCAGTTCATTGACTGCAGGAGCAGTCTCCTCTTCCTGCTAATGGCACTGAAGCTGCGTCTACACCGCCTGCTCTGCATGCCAAGCACACAGGGCTTTTAGGAGATGGATGCTGATGGAAAGCTGAAATGAAATGCCTTGTAGATTCGCAATAGTCTGGCTCTTCCCTCTGCCTGTACTCCCTTTCCTCTGGAGGAGGGGGTTGGCCCTGTAAAAGCTTTGCAGAGACCTGCCTGTTTGGTGGCTCTGTAGAGGGGAAGGGCCATGGTCGTGCTGATGGCTGCTGTCCTCCTGCCAAATTTGGTTTTTTGAGAAGTGACTTGCCCACAAACTCTCTGGGGCCGGGGAATGGCCTATCCCTCTCTATTTGTGCATCACCTGGTCCTGTCTTCAGGTGTGCGTGCACCACAACACGGGCCATTCATTGGGATAACAACAAATTTGGGTCTGTAGGCTCCATGAAATTGAGGCAGGAGGTGCCATAGCGTATGTATGGGTCCACGATATGCAGCAGACCCAGAGCAGCACGTTGGACATGGCACTAAGTGGTACTTCAATGAAAACACTGATCTTTTTCTTTCATTCCAGGGGATGGCCAGGTTGATTTTGATGAATTTATGACTATTCTGGGACCTAAGCTGGTATCATCGGAAGGCAGAGACGGCTTTCTGGGAAATACAATAGACAGCATATTCTGGCAGGTAAGCAGTGAGTTTTTTTAATGCAACTTTAGCCAACTATCAACAGCTTCCAGGACTGGTTTGTTGAGGAGCACAAGGTGTTTTGCTAAGCGTGAATGTTTGTGCAAAGGCTACTGGGGTCCCTCTCGCTGTGTGGTGGGTAAGAGAATCCCGTGTTGCTGGAGGGACCTGCTCTCGCTGGGCGCTGTGCGGGAGGCAGGGGAAGCACGCGCTATGGATGAACTGCAGCACAACACAACAAAGAGCCCAGTTGTTTGTGCCACATGTTCTGGGAACATTTTGGAATTCATTTTTGGAATAGGAAAGACATTTTTCTCGATGAGTCTTTCAAGTTCGGAACCTTGAACCTGTCTGGCTGCTCTCAGAAATGTGCCGCCGTTCAACGTCCCTCGGCTGTGGCAGGGGGATGCTCCGTGCAGAGTGAGGCATGCCGTGCAGGTCACTTCTGATCGGTGCTTCTGCAGTTAATTCAGGTCCGAGGCTGAGGATAATGGTATTTTACCCATGGTGCTGCACTTGGAGGTTTTTGGTCCTGCCAGTTTCAGGCAGTGGAAGGGAGACAGGTCTGGCGGCAGGAGCTGCCTCACGTCTGTTGCGCAGCGTGATTTTAAACAGCGTTAGACCTTCCTGGAAAAGCAAGGGCAGCCCAGGCTGTTATGGTGGGGATTAAAAACCTCCCAAAACACAGTGCTGCACATTTCTTGCCAATGGACTAAACGTGTGGCTTCCTGTGAGATTGCTGCTCATTTCATTGATCATCCAACAGCCTCTGCTTGCTAATAAACTTTGGCTGTTACCAAGTTTATGTGAATCAAAAGAGTCAAACCTGCATATAAGCTTTTCTGTCTTCTTTTACTACCCTCCAGCCCTGTCCAGGCTGCATTGGGTGGAGTTTTGTTAAAGTCGTTTAAAAGTCTTTTAACAACTTGTTCCTGGCCCCCTGGCATGTGCTAGAAATAATTCTGGAAACCCTGGTCTGGACTCTAGTGTTCGGTTTTCAAGGCACGAGTTTGGTGTTGGTGAAGCCACAGTGGTTTGTAACGTATCTGGGGGGATGCGAGACTGTGTCCCCATTGCACCCTGTGCCTCATCCCAGCGCGTCAGCAACGGGGAGGGAAGGAAGCACCATCCCGTTCCACCGAGCCATCGGTGCCTCCCGGACCCCCCGGCAAGACTGGACTCACCAGAGCCATTCAAGAAGCAAAAATACCCATTAGGAAAATCAAGTTCGTGAGCTGAACTCTTCAATGGGGAAGCAGAGGAGTCTGGCGCCCTCCCTAAAATTCAGCTCACAGGTTAACCCGCAGCCATTTAGTGACCCTTCAGCCCCTGTACATGCCTGCGGTGACTTTGCCCAGAGGAATCGAGGAGGGGAGGAGGTGTGCTCCGGCTGTAGAGCAGCAGGACTCCTGCACTCTGCTTTCGCCTTGGTCTTTCATGCAGCAGGGACCGTGGCCCTTGTGCCCCCCCAGGCTGTGATGGGATGAGGGAAAAGAGTGCGGAGACTTCAGGTAGCCGGCCCCGCGGTGGGAAGAGACGGCCCCGGGGCTTGTCTGCAGGCAGCAAAGCTTTGACTGAGTTGCACAAGTGCTCCAGGGCCTTGGAAAAAAAAGTTTATGGTCTTTTACTTGTAAGAGTAAAAATACATCTCTTTACATAGCACTTTCCTGGATTTCAAAGCCCTTGAAGAGAAGGCTTCATCTCACATTTCTTTTCTCCTGGGGTAGGAGAGCTCAAGAAGAATACAGTAATTTTTCTGCTTATTCCTCAAGAAAAAGCAAGGATAAAACCACGTAGGGAAGTGCCATTCAGGGAACAGGTTCCCTTTGCCCCTTCCTACCTGGCTTTACCCACACTGGCTGTAGGGCCATAAGTCACCTTGTCTTTAAGCAATGCGTTTATGCATCTGCATTATGTCCTGTGGGACTAGGTCTGATTTGAAACAAAGCCCTTTTCGGACTCGGGGCCTGGTGGTATTTCCCATATCCCCCTGACGTGGGATTTTCACATTTGCTGGAAAGGACTGGCATGGAGAGGGCGATGAGTTTGGGTTGCTGATAGAGCACTTTCCCCCATGCAGTCATTCCCAAGGGATGATTGTAAGGAGAGGACGGTGCCCACAAGCCCGTGGTTGTGAGTGGTGCTGGGTGACAAGGGCAGCACGGGTGGGACAAGGAGGGACAGCTCTGCCTTGGTGCCCGCTGGCCGGGCAAGGCTGCCAGGAAACTTCACCCCAAAGCTGCAGATAGCAAAATGTGTCTTGAAGAGGCTCTTACATCAGTCCCAGGGGGAAAGAAAAATCCATGTTGACATCCAGAAAGTGCCTTCCCCTCTTCCATCCAAACAGCTTCCCTCCAACTGTCACAATTTTGGCTCTCAGGGCATTTTTGCTGAGGGTCCAGCTTTCTATACTGTGGCACTTCTGTGTAGACTCTGTTCCAAGCGCGCCTTAATAACGCTTTAAATAATGCAATGACAGAGTTAAATAATAAACAGCAGCAGAAGGAGAGAGGAATTCAAAGGAACAGGCAAGGGCCTGGAGATGCGTTTGCAGACGAAGCTGGGAGTGAGTTGGTGGGGTACAGGAAGGCGGTTCCAGATGGCAGAAGCTGCAGAGGGGAAGGATCTTACAACAACAGCAGTGGGGCTGCGGGAGATGGGGAGGAGGTAGAAACAGTGAAAGAATAGGGAGGAGAGAGAGGGATCATGCGTGGAAGAGGCAGGCTTGAAATAATAGGGAAAGGGTGCATCCCTCCTATCGTATGTGTTGCTTAAGAAGCGATGGCCAACCCGGGAGAAGCAGGATTCGGCCGAGAGCTAAGTGTTGGAGGGTGTTAGAGACATGGAGGGTCCCTCAGATGTATTTTTCCTTCCTTGATTTCCCATGTGGGCTTTAAATTGAGTTGTATTGGGGTGTGTTTAAGGTGGCTGACTCTTGCTTTCTCAGGTAGCGGCGATCAGTTCTGCTCCAGTTGGAATGACTCTCCGCGGTCCCTCAGCCGGGTCGGGAGGTATTTAAGGGGAGGGAAAAATCATCCCTGCAAATACGATTTCAGGCTGAGTCAATATAGACTAATGGTATCAGGGGAGCTGAGGGAACATGGACTCTCCTCCATGGCAGAATGTCTTTCCTGGGTGAGATGCCGTGCACACCAAGCACTGTTTGGCGGAGAACATCCCCGGGTGCCTCCTGCTCTGTTTCAAAATGGTTTTCTCATCCTCATGCCAACTGTGTGCAAATGGAAGTAACATGTACCTGTGCACAGACATCTTTAACTGTCTTAAATTTTTAAAACAGTCTTAAACTGTCGTAAGTGTTTTTTCTTAAGTACACAGCTGCTTGGTAACCATCAGCCAGTCCTCAGCGTGCAGGATCATGGTCAGGAGGAGCTTGAAGGCTGGAAGCACCCGATGAAGCCCCATTCTCCCTGGTTTGGGGCAGACCTGCCGTGGGAAGCTTGCAGCAATGATGCAAATGTCCCCTTTGGCTGCTTTCACAGAGTCTGCATTTATTCAAAACAAAATGTAAAGAAAAAAAATGAGATTTTGGGAGTACCTATTGAACTCTGTTTTGAAAGGCAACGGGAGGAGGTGAGGGGTGTTGGACCTGCCATGGTCTGTCACAGGGTGTCTGCCCCCTTCCCTCTCCATCTTTTTCTCTTGTTTTTTAAAAAGTGGCCACCAACCGCTCGCCTTCCCCTGCCCACCTTCTCTGAGCTGCTCCAGCAGCTGCTCACGCTTATTGTCCCGACGCTGATTTTCTTCAGCGTGTCCGGCAGTTTTTAGCAGTGATGCAGTAGCCGTGGTGTGGTCAGAGAGATGCTACTTGATCTTTATTCAGGCATGAGAATTTGTTTTTGTTTTTCCGGAGCTCAGGGAGTATGAGCCTGGTTCCCGTTATGCACTGAGGGCTGTGCTTTGTACAAGTGAGTTTTGTGGCATTTCCAGTCCGTGGCCATTCGGCTCTGTAAAGCGGTTTAGATCAAGAGCATTGCAGAAAAGACAAACATCACTACTGGTAAATATTAGCTCCTTTTTTTTGGCAAACAGACTCCAAATCTGTCCACTGTGCCCTGCCATTCTGAGCCAGAGAGAGGGATGAAAAGAGAGGGGAGAAACGGGGATTTCATATTCATTTACAATTTCTGCCCAGATTGTTTCTGAGTGCAAAGACCTTCAGGCACAAGTGTTAAATAGTTTGCACAGGATGTAGTGTAGTGGATCTCCAGTCCCTGGGGGTAAGCAACAGGAACAGAAGCAATAATCATCTTGGATTCTAGGCTTTTAATTAAAATAAACCTCTCTGTCTTGGCTAAAATGCTTTTTGAAGTCAGAGCAAGTTTGAATGGTTAAACAGCAGGACTGCATCTGCAACGGATGCAGAATAAATTCTGTACCCAGCAGCACTGATGAGATTATTTTGAAAAGTCAATACTTTGTATGGTCATCATTTGAGAGGCAAAACGCCGCCTGCTATTTTTTTCCCCCCTCTCTCTTTACTGTATACACGTGGAAGCTGCAGGGAACATCATTTCAGCCAGCGCTAATGCATTGCCTGAGCAAAGATATCTGGAAGCTTTGTCTTGCATGAGGGGACGGCACTGTATCATCAGCTCAGACATGGTGCCCATTCGTCGCATTAGATGTCGCCTGGTATAATTCACGGGTGTTCAGGAGGAGGCTGGCTGGTTTGGGATAAATAATGCTGCTTCACAGGAGCAGGAAGACCAGAATACCAACGCGGTGCTCCGGGAGATGCTGCTCAGAGATCTCATTTTTTCCACCGTACAGATGTCTCCACAGTTTAGGAAAGGGGGTGGATGGAGGACTGGGGAGGCAGGTCCTGCGAACGGAGCAGTTCAGCAACTGCTCGTGTTTTCTGGGCTTGGGAAAATCTTTTTCATCTCTCCAGGCTTCCACATACCTTTGCTCAGGAGAAGGAATACCTCGTTTTTTATGATCTTTGGTGGATGAGTAGGTACAGCCAAAGCCAGATCCCA